TTGAAAAAGTGTATCTCAAAATAAGTATATTTCTCAAAAAAGGTTATGTTTTTCTTATTTATCAATAAATTTATAAAAAAAATAAAATATAATACTCAATTTGTGATGGAAGAACTGGGAGAAAAAAGTGTGGTTGAAGTTTTTGTGTAATATTCACCAAAAGTTACATAAACTTTTTAGCAAAATATGTATGCAAAAGATCATGGAACTGGAAGGCAAGAATTGTGTTTAAATTAGTCTTCTTAAAATCATGTGACGAAGGAGCTAAGCAGAAATTATCCATGCGTATGAACATCTACGTGACCATAAGCATATTTATAAACTTGTGTCTTGAAAGGATCGAATTGATTCCATTGGAATGAGAACAACAACCCAACTTCAAATACCATTTACAAGCAAAGACCATATAAACTGTGATTGTGTTCATACATGATAGTTGGCGTTTGTCTACATTCTCCATTAAAAATGGGATTTCGTTCAAATGTGCATAAAAAATCTGTACACATAACATGGTTGAGAGGAAGTAAAATAAGATATAATCCTGTTACAGGTTGACCAACTGAGTTTGCATATAGATAAGCATAAAAATAAATTATGTTTTTGTTTTCTAAGATCTATCAACTGTAAGGAGATTTGTGTGCCCATCAAAATTGAAACAATGACATCTTTATTTTGGACCGAAAGACTTTTGAATTGAAATCAATGTAGATCAAGAGAACTCATATCCGCTATTTCATTTCACAAACAACCACTGTACAAACCCATGACATGGTAAGAGTCTTTCAACCAGGAGGTTTAAAAATGGCTTACATCATAGAACCAAGAAATCGAGTTATAATAGAAGAGAGATTTCTAGATAATACCATCTCGAGATGAAGTTGATCTTTTCCAGCGAGATTTACATAACGTAGCATCATAGCGTAAGATCACCAAACAATTGACTACACTTCTCAAGCATGATTTGTCTTTACCAGTGCATTCTTACTTGTCACAACGGCCAACAAATTCCTGTCAGAAACACTCGTACAAAAGACCATACACTACGAATTAAATCTGCATATATCAGGTATTTAATTACCCTTAATTAATCGAACAAACCTAGAGTCGAAAAAACTTGATTAATCTGCATATACGTTGCGGATTTCTCAGGCTTCACTAGGGAGAACATTTTTTTATCATCAGAGCAGCGATTCTATTCAAATTCTTCATGAGAGTTCTCTGTACCTGTCAAATTAATTGCAGCTGGTACAAACACACCACTATATCTCATCGTTGTTCTCCTTGACAAATTTTTTAACCATCTTCGTCGGACAAACTGAACATGGCGCGACATCTCTGCAGTGGCCACCGATGCTGCAACGTCTAGTGAGGGAAAGTTTTTTGAAGAGAAATTTCAACCAAAATTTTGGATTGATATTATTTTATCATCGTTAATTCCAACGGAAATTGTATAGACAATAAGAGAATGTGAAATTGAAATCAAATCTCTAGAGAGTAAATGATCGTAAAGGCTATTAAAGGTTACGTTTGAGAAGTGTAAAAGACAACTTTTTGGTGAACACATGTCAATCACCTAAGACGCCACATGTCGCGTAGATGGAGAGGGGTCATTCTTCTTTCATATATATATGATTTAAAAATAGAAATTCTCAGAAAGCATATATGGAAATGTATATGCAGCTTCGCAAGAGACGTCAGAGAAACAAAGCGGCAAAAATATGGTACGGCGAATGTTCTCTCTATATTTCACAAGACGACTTAACATCAAATAAGGTGGAGAAGATTGATTACGAGAATACTTTCTCAATGCAAAATCCAAACAACGTGAGGGGGGATACAAAGTCGTTCAACAATAAAACAATGGATTTCCTCCACAAGCTAACGCAAAAAGCTCAGGTGCCCAAAGGTAACAAGATCGAATTTTACGCGGCCGGAGAAGAGAGAATCGGAGCAAATAATCTGTATGCAATGGTGTTGTGTACCCAAACCTTTGGGGACTGTGAGGCTTGTTTGAAATCGGCTATCAAAGAGCTTTCCAAATGTTGCAGCGGTAAACAAGGAGCAAGAGTATATATGGGTACGAGCTGTAATCTTAGGTATGAGCTTTACCCTTTTCTTAGTAAATAAAGACTGTTTGATGTAAAGCACATTCTCTTGACAACTTTCTAGTTTTGTTTACTTTCCTATTCTACCTTTGGACCTTTTACTTCTTTTTGTTTTGTTTTGTTTTGTTGTCTACTTCACTTTCCAGTTTTTATTCCTATAGTATACTTATGATAGTCAAGTTCAAAACTTTGTCATATCTCTCACCCTTTCATTTGATTAATATATAATAAAGAGACTATAGTTTTTAACGTTTGCTCTTTGGTTTAGCCAAAAACGTCATTTTAAAACCAATTAATGAAACAAAAACAACTTCATAAACTATACCCCACAAATAAACTATGATCCAAAATCAAACATAAACCTAAAACACTAGATCCCAAAACATATAGAGAACTCATAATTGTTTTGAATTACAACTACATAATTGCCCTTTAAAAATTAGATTCGAGCTACTTTTTTTGTTAATTCTAAAATCGACAAACAACATAAAATCCAGTTTTAACTATATTGAGAGAGAAACGAGTACGTTAGCTGGAGAACATATTAAAGAGGAGCTCATGAAGAAGTATAAATTGCAAAGCCGCAAGAACTACCTTTCACTTTTGAAGTGTCAAATTCTCAACCAAATGTTTCAAGAACCACAGTGAAGTTGTTGTTGGTGATGGTGATTGGTGAAGCTACTGCAATCTTACCAAACCTCGAGATACTACAACCAAGTACTTCGGAATGACAGGAAATTATTTCAACATCTGTATGTTTCTGATCATTCCATAGATGAAATTTTTAAAAGGTTTAGGCTTCAGTTGGTGACACTTTTGAGGAATGCTTCCTTTCTATCTGTTACTCAAATTTTTCAATATTCAGTTATTATTTTTGTTTTACTCAAAAGTTCATTAAAAACTTTTCTAAACAAAAAAAAAAAGTTCATTAAAAACTGAGAGATGTAGGGGAATAGTTGTAGGACTCAGTTGTCGACCCCAAAAAAGAAAAAAAAACGTGTAGGACTCTTTCAGTCAATTGTTCAATGTAGGAAAATTTGTTCTCAAAATTTAGTTCCTATTAATCTATAATTTTTAAATGAAAATGATGTTCTTTTTAGAAAATGTAAAAAAAAAAAAAAAATCTTATTCTGCACATTTAGAATCATCACAATATCTTTTAAATTTACAAATTTATTACTTAATATATACATTTATAAAACAAAACAAATTTAATTCTCAAATAGTTTAATTTTAAATCATGCATCTATAATCTTCCATTTATTATGATTCACAAAAGTGATGAAACATTCCCAAAAAAACGTTAGGTTTGTATTTTTTTTTTTTTAAATTTAGCTAATAACAAAAAAAACGAAATTAAAATTTTATCTAACCTATTTTTTTTTTTTAAATTATCCATGAGTATCTTTTGGTCTCCCAACCGAAATCAACAAATTGAAAAAGTCAGTCTCACTAATAAAATCTAAACTACTAACCTTAAATCCCTTTACCAAGTAAACAAAATCTTCAACATCCTTTTAAATTCAAACGATCACATTTTTTTCTCAAACGATCACAATCTTTTCTCAGAGTGAGAAGAAGAAAACTTCAGAAATATGGAAGAAAACAAAGGTTTCTCTTTCAGATCAATCCTCATCCACTCTCTATGGACAACTCTCACCGGAATACTCTTCTTCAGTTTCGCCACCATGAAAGGCCACAACTTTGGTTACATCAAATTCTTTTCGATATCCGGAACATTGCTCGCAACTTTGCCTTGGTTAATCCAACTTTTGGTCACTTTTGCTGTAATATTACTGCATAAGACCAAAGGTTACAATCTCATGTGGATTGTTCAAGCACCAAAATCCAAAGAGAATCATCATCCCACTAATGTCGTCACTATCTCTTCTTCATCATCTCCTCTTTCGTCTAGCCAGGTTTTGAAGAAAGGCGATAAGGATGATGAGATCGAGATTAGGATTGTGATTGGTGTTGATGGTCCAAGACTTCCAAAAGATGGATCTTCTGCAACGCAGCCTTTAGGGAATCTCAAGGAGATTGAAGGAAGAAATAACACCAAACTTCTCACAAATGGATCACAAATTGTTGCTTAATCAATGACTCTGTTTCTTTGTTCTGTTTTTTGTTCTTTAATTTATGTTGTTTTTATGGTCTCAAACTTGTAGTGCTTACAAGTTTTGTGAGATTTTCATATGTAAGTTTGATTAGTAATGAATTTGATTGCTATTATATAACCTTCTATATTGCTTCAATCACTGATTCACATTCAAATCTCTTAAACAAATTGGCTAAAACCAAAATACACACACTGATTGGTGATCACACATTAAGGTGAGTTATTGGCCGAGGAAGCAGCTGACCAACATCTTGAAGCAACAAGGGAGGCTGCATCGATCAGAACCGAAGAACGAGTGTTAATCCCCACATCATATGGTGAGAAATATGGCAATGGTAGGTTCTTGTTTAAGTATAGGACCACTTGTTCTATTGTAGGTCTTGATTCTGGCACAATATTTGAACATAGCAAACCGAGTTTCATGACCATCTCGACTTCCTCGGATAAGAATTCTCCACCTAATCTCGGGTCGATAGCATCAAGCAAAGCATCCCTTTTCCAACACTCGCAAACCCAATTGATCAGAACTCGTTTTCTCACATTGTAACTTTGGTTCCACAGGTCTCCTTCCACATGTTACTTCAAGCATGAAAACACCAAATGCATACACATCAGTTCCAGTTGAAACTACCATATCGATTATTTCCGGCGCCATGTACCCTGCAGTTCCTAAGTTGAGTATGCATGAGCATAGCCTCCATGGTCATGAAGCCTAGCTATACCAAAATCACCTAGCCTTCCATTGAACTCAACGTCCAACATAATGTTCGAAGCTTTAATATCTCGGTGCAGAACAACATGATCAGCACCTGTATGCAGATAACAGAGAGCAGAGGCTATATCTTTAACAACCACAAGTCTTTGTGTCCAAGAAAGTACCGGTTTCTGGTCATTAAACAAATGCTCGTCAAGACTACCGTTAGGCATGCACTCGGAGACAAGAAGAAGCTCATGCTTTCTCCTACAATACGTAAGAAGTGGAACAAGATTCCTGTGTTTCAGACATCTCATGCTCACCACTTCAGCAACAAACTGCTTCACACCTTGATTACCATCATGTGACATTCTTTTCACTGCTATTTCTCTGCTTAAAGGGAGAATTCCTCTGTAAACTTCTCCAAAACCTCCTTTGCCAAGAAACTCATCATTGCTAAACCCTTTTGTTGCTTTAGGACGAGGAACTTCAGTGAGACTTGAGATGTCAAGTGGTCGACTTGGCTTCTGAACTTCAAGAGGAGACATTGAAGCATTTTTTTGATAGGAAGACATTGAAACATTGAACATAGTGTCTTCATAATCCACCCAAACCTGTATAGGATTACCACTCAAGAGGTTTATGGTTTCGTTCTTCGCCTTCATGTCGGAATAGTAAGAAGCTGAAGCTATTCGAACTGACAAAGGACTGTTGACATCAATCCCCACATGATTGCTCTTGATGTCTTCAAAATCTGGATTCCAAATAGTGTCAAGCTCAACAGCAAGCACATGAGAAGAAGGAGATCCATTTTTCGATACGTTGAAAATCCCCAAGTGTCTAATCGGTTTGGTATGCGAGAAATCGATAGAAGAAGATATTACAAAGGCCATTCCATGGCCCCTTTCAACTCCTTGCTGAGGCACTAGAGCACAAACAAAGTGTGCTGAGAAGGAGAATGGTTTAGAGGAAGTGATGATACCAATTGACTCTTTATAGAAAACATGAGCCATTTGATGATCCGAAGCGTTTGTAATTTACCATGGCCAACTTTATCATGGACCCTTACATGAGCGCTCTCACA